CGCCAACTTGCGCCAAGAGTGAGCCATGCCGAGGTCAAATTTTTTCGCTGCCGATTGCGCATCAGTCCGCACCCTCAAGAAGTCCGCGTGTCTCCCAACCAGACGATTTCCCCTTCTTTTACCTTCGTTGTCCTGGAATGGGGTCCTCCTTTGACTATGCCAATCATGCGGAATCGATACCATTTCCAAACTCTGGATGTTAGATTCACAATCTCTGCTATGAAGGTCCAGTGCAGGTCTAATTCTGTATGGAACGTTTTTCTTGCTCGTAGATTCTCTGGAAGAACGTAGCATGAGCTGACAAGACTCAAACAGCAGTCCGTTGAACAGCCTCTTGAACTTGTTCTCAAAAGTCACCACATTGTCACATTGAGAACGAATGAAATTAATTCTCGAGAGTGGTGAATCATCTCTGAAACATTCGCTCGTGTTGCAATAAATCACGCTGTAAAATCTAAAAACATATTTCCGATGAGAGATGACGCATGATATGCGAAAAGTCTTCATTCGTATTCACAAGGGATGGCTGTATCAGAAAAATGCTACTTCCTGTCTACTCCATAGTCTTCGCGATTTAGCACGCGAAAGCCAAGGTCCAATGCCCGTTAAGCAAATGCTGGTCGCGGTGAACGAAGGTCTCGAATTAGCTGAGAAATGAAATTTCTAGAAAGGAGCGTTGTAATTTTGGAGATATTAGGAAAAGAAGATGCCTTAGAAAGTGGGAAATATAAGGTTTTTGAGAGCAGAAGCGATATCTCTGAAATTTCCTAGCCTTGCTTTCCTCAATCCCAGTCCAAGTTAGGCTGGCTGAAAGGTTGAAGGAAGGTTCCACGCTTATCGGAAGTCGTAGCAGGGGAAAGAGCTGCTAGAATGGAGACAGGTCCTCAATGGTGAGGGACCATGCTCGTGCCTATAGCCTTAGCAGGGCCGTACCGGAGGCTCCCACGGCCGCACACCCTTGACTTACTGACCTCTCGCCGCCGGATTTTAGCCGTTCAACAGATATGCAGCACAGAGAGGAGAGACAGATCAGAGAGGTGCTCACGATCACAATAAGCTCCGATGAACCCGCCCTAACGCGGAAATAAACATGAAAACTGGGCCCCAGCCAGCTGATGTTCTAGTCGGCCTTGTTGAAGCGATCTATGCTGGCGCAGTCTAAGAGGATTGACACAGGCTGGTGTCAGACTTTGCAAATCGAGCGATATGCTAGATATTCGCTCGATTCGCAAAGTCTGACACCGACGTTGGGTGGGGTGTTCGCCGCCACAAAGAGCTTATGGACGCCTCCAACTGCCAGTCGCTTCAATCGAACACTACTGTAAAAAGAAAAAATTTGAGAACCGAAAATCTATGTTTGTCCCTTCTTTTTTTCAACCGCCCTTATCACTAAGATTTTTAAGGTGGTAAGATATGACACTAAACAAGAAATGTTGTAAAATATACTTTTCATCGAAACTTCTGCTGCAATCTGTTTAGGGCTCGGATTCGGCCTAATAGCCATTGTGGCGCTTATTACGATTCTCAACGTGATCCTTGGAGTGGTGCACTTCTCACTTGTTCTGGCTTATACCGGCAGACCTCGTTCCAATTCGATGTCAAGAAGGGTAATGCTTCAATGCTACAGTTCATACAAAAGAATGATTACACAAGCGAACCATTTAACTTTTTGCTCACGCTTTCCGGATTGTTCCGATTTCCGGCTCCATCGAAACGAAGGGTCTTCTATCCGAAAAGAACCCTTTCAATTATCACTTTCGCGCTCTCATTTTTCTGATTTTTCGCAATTTTTGACAACTTGTTGGAAATTTTTACTTTATGCTATTTTTAATTTTATGGCGTGTTCAAGCACAAGTTCCGAACTTCTATGTTGGCAAGTGATTTTCGCCCCGCCCTCATTTATATTGCCATTTTTTTGCTCCACCGATCCTATTCATATGCGCTTTTAGGCACGCTTGTCCGCTGACCGAAGCGTTCTGCTCGACGTAAGTCTCTTAATGTTCCCAACCCAAAAAAAATCGCAACGATTTCTGCATTTCAGGATCAAAGTATGATGCCATTTATGCCAGATGAAGATGTATGTCACGAAGTTGTCATTGAAAATTGTCTGCATAGAATCATATCTCAGGAGTGGAAGTTTCACGAATATCGATTTTTAGGAAGATCCAAGATTCGGCTATGTTACAATGCCCCGTGACGGTAGCAAGAAAACTTACGGCAAAATGGTTCTCATCTCTCCGTCCAAATCTAGGTGTGTTCATTGGTATCATTGATTCGCCTGTCCGTCATTTCGTCGTCATATCTAGTCTTTTTTCTAAGGCCACTTCAACAGCTTTTTTCGCAGCGCAAGAGCTTGTATTGCGGTAGGAGTATTGATTTTGCGCGCATGAGCTATGCCCACTTCTTCCGGGTTTACGGACTACTTGATTTTTCCTCAATGGTCCTGCCGCGATGGCTAGAGCACAGACGATTAGAGAATGCCCTAGGACTAAGCCTTGGAGAGGAGAGGGACCCGCTAGAGAGCGCAGAGGCGGTAAAGGGCTGAGTTCAAGTAGTCAACCCTTCTTTCGTAACGGCGCTCTGGGTTGCCGTTTCTTCTCTTGTGAGGTGTCCTGAGATGTTAAACCATCCCGACTTCTTCAGATCTGTAACATTACCTCAGCTTATCATATCCACTCTACCTCTCTTGGCGGCTTTGTCTCAGGAAGTAGCCAAGGCTGAAAAAATCCAAAGCTCAGTCCGCCGCACAAGTGCTTGTATTGCGATAGGGTATTATTGATTTTGCGCGCATGAGCTATGCCGTTTTCCTCGTGTTAAACGTTCTGAGATGTTAAACCATCTGACTTCGTCAGATCCGTAACATTACCTCGTTTTATGGTATCTACTCTACCTCAATTGGTGGCTTTGTTTCAGGAAGTAGCACGGCTGCAAAGAAAATTCAAAGCAGTCAAATTCTAAGCCTGTGTCATTGATATCTTATCGATTTTGCACTTCATAGGAATAAAAGTTTATTAATTTGTTGAAGCATAAATGGCATAGCACAACTTCATCAACGAAGTGTCTTCGTATAGCATACATTACCCACTTCATTCGAACTCTAAGCGCTGTGTGAGTATATACCTAACAAGGGTCCAAAAGGGCATTTTGTCCATATCACATTTCACTATTTTCCTCAGCAAAAATGCGTCGTTGGACGATTTGCTCAGCATACTCCCTCAAAGGCTCCAGCGCCACGCCAGTAACTCGCTTCCTTCCCTCCTTGCTCATAGAAATTGAACTTCATCTGTCATCACCGTAGAGCTTAGGGTCTGCAGTGAGTGCTCGAGCTTGATCCCCTTACATACCTTCCAGTTTCCAAGATGAAAGGATGGCATGAGCACCCGAAATGGCCTCATCCTGAACAGGAAATGACCTGCAATCACAGCTCTTTCAATTTCCACAGGGGTTATTCTAAATGTGCTCATTGACCATGAGCTAGGCAAAAATTTGGACTTTTACATATTTTAAAAGTTTACATAGGAGGACGAACTTAGAAGATTCAGGTGGTGCAGATCATCGATTATCAAATCCCAGATCGGCTTTAGTCCAGGCCAATCAAACATTTCATTGCACCGTGCTCTCCGAGAACGATTGCTAACACTATATTGGGAGAAGTTACTAGTTACTCGGATACTAGAATACTTGGATTCTCGTTGTAGGCCGATGTCCGTCAGCGACGAACTTCGCTCCCTTTCATTTTTGACGGGCGGTTTCGGCTCAGTGTTGACCTGCAGCTTCTTGGATCTTCTTTACGGAGTCTGTCCATCGCTTTGCAGGGCGGCCAACTGCGCGCTTTACGTAGGGTGGTACCAAATCGTGATGCATGTACTTATCCAGCGATCGTCCGTACATCTGCTCATGTGTCTAAAACCATCATTATTTCAGTGGTAAAATGTTATGTTATGATTTATTATCGGTAAACCAAACAGAACATAAACAGTACACAAATGAAGACATCCAATTGTATAAGGGCTGGCCCCAAGTCGTTTTATATACTGGAACCCATCCAAATATTCCTACGATTCCTATTAGAAGCAGGTGCATGGCGCACTTTGGAAAAGTGCTCGAACAGCGCGAATGCTTGATCCTTTGTCCTACATAAGAGCATGTCACATAAGAGGGCCCCTAGAGCCTTGTCCTTCATTTCTTAACTTTACACGCTCTGCCCTATATATTGCTCTTATCGTTACCTTCATCAATTTACAAAGTTGTAAATAGCGTGGTCCGTGGTTTAGCATTTTCCATCAGAGACCAGCGCACAAAATACAATTTACCTCGTAAGCTATATTCTCAGTATTTGTAGTCTTGCAGTAATTAGGAGGCAGAATCGTATTTCCAACCTCTAGGACATTTTGACAAGTGAGTTTTTTAGCCAGCAAGCGTTTACGGTAATTGCCATTTGTTGCAATGATGTTTTACGAAATAAGAGAAGAGAGGTGTTACCGTAATTACGAGTGCTTTGTTTGGAAACGGCAATGAGGGGGGTCGTGAACTCGCACTCACCGTATAATTGCTCCCCTTACTCATTCATTTACTCGACACCTACGATCAGTCCAATCAAAACACATCCACTGTTCTCGCCTTGTTGACCTCTCCACAGAAGGGCTTTCGCTCTTCAGAGCTGACATCTTCAGGACAGCATTGTCTTATCTTATTCCTCCGTTGGTACCCTGTCCTGCAACCTATTTTTTATCCATAGAGTACATCTAATTTTTTCTAAAAATTATAATGGGTGCGATCTCCATACGACCAACTGATGAGCTTAGCTCTAAACCAGTCTCCATCCAAACATTTTCTTCCTCAAAATTTCCCTCATGGGAAATGTTTGTGACTAGTGCAACGCTGAGATCTGCGCAGATTTCATAAATCTCGTAGAAATTCCTCCAAATCTTAAGTTTCCATTTTTTCCCATTCCCTTCGAATATTCATACGATTTTCGGGAAATGTAACCACTCCTTCAAATATACAAGTATAAACTCTTTGCTGGGAGCTGCCCAGCCGATGGCATTTCAGACCATTTCTTTTTGGCCAGGATACAAATGCTTTTGAAGCTACATGAACATTTTTAGAAATTATGCTCACAAGGCCATGAATGGTCACGTAGTTAGACCATGGCTCGGTATCGATGTCAAAGTGTTTTATAGAAAGGCCGTAGGGGTCTTAAGACGAATTAATAATCATAGAGGGAAGTCACTCCAGTCCGACTAACAGATTAGACCGAATCCTCTTTTAGAGTTCATCTAATTCATGTTTCACCTTTTTTTCTGCATCTCCTTTTTTTCAGGCCAGCTGTCCCTGACACTCTTTCTGCCCCAGCCAACTAACCCCACCCCCCCCCTTTTTTTGCTTGCACTTACGCTTTCGCCGTGCTCATTAAGTAAGTACATGTGAGCAGTTATACTCTACCGTCTATTGTACAGTTCGGGACTCTACGGGAACCCATTTCACTTTTTGCGCTAACACACCTACATGCTACAAATATCTATGGCTCTTCGATAAAGCCCAACGCCCCCCCCTTTCTGAGGTCTTTTGCGTATTATTTCCAGTACTTTGGGTTTTCATTCGGTTATAGGTCATTCACACCCAATCAATATCTTTTATGAATAGTCTATGAACGACTCTCCCTAATAATAATAGCAAATAGCATAATTACAGTAACATGTAGCGTTTGTTGTCTCGCCTTTCGGAATTGAACACGATTAACCGATTAATGTTTCGGCAAAACTCACTCGCTTACTTCAGAGCCTGTAAAGGAAGTCGAAATTACCTGTGGTCAAATCGCTTCAATACCTCTCAGACTAAAAAAAGAAAACTTTGAGCGTCAAAAAATCATCAGTGATGTTAAAAAAGCTGACCTTGTACGATGCCGGCTACGTACCAGGCGACGCAATGAGAGAATCGGGTTAAAGCGCGCGATTTCGGAGAGTGGAGACAAATCGATCGATGGAATAGGATGGAGTAGAAGTGTAAGATGTGAATGCAACGAAGCAGAAGGCCAGAAAGAGCTTCTAGTGAATGCACTCCAAGAACCAAGTTTGAGCATCCCCGTCGCCAGCATTCGTGAAAGACGTCCGTGGGCAATTCGAACGCGTAGCAGCCTTTTCGAGTTTTCGAATTTCTAATCAAAACGAAAGCAATACTTCAGTTCTTTTCACTATTATCGTGGATAATGAGTCTCAAGCCAGTGATTTATGGCTGAAATAGAATCATGATTTTTCCGCGCAAGATTCCTTTAAAAAAATTCATGAAAAGTAACAGGCGTGTTTCGTTATGAAATCAAGCGTATTGAAATGTTTATGAGTCGACATAGATGCCATGCAATAGCTATCTAACAAAAGATCAGTAAACTGGATCAGATTTTTCATATTTCAGTCTAGTGGAGACCTTCTACAATTCACCGTTTATACTTCATTATTACAAGCTACACATCTAATGGCCTCCAGGAAAAAATAAAAAAAAAAAACATTAGGGGGACATATTAACCGCTAAGGGCCGATCACCAGGACTTAGCACAGGTAGGAGAAATCACCAACGGAGAAAACACACAAATTGCTCAACATCCTCCCTCACATCTTTCCCTTTCCTCTACTCCGGCGTTCTTCCCAAGACAGTAATTGGCTCACTCACTTGAAATGTCCCCGCAACGACAAATGCGTGCTTGTCGACTTTTGCTCCAACAGGCTTCATATTTACTTGCTCTAAGCATTTTATGGGTAGAGATAGCTCAATTTTACAAAAAAAGGGTAAGAGAAATAAGCGCATTGTTCGGTGACAAAGTATTTTATAGAATTTTATTTTTCTTCGTTTGGAACATTTTTCTTCTGCGAGTATACCGCATTCTGTCTCATCAATTGGGTAGGTAACACGTATACCTGTAGGCACGACTCTAGTAGGTACGCGACGCTTACCATGCGATTTCAGGTTAGCCCTTCCGCCAAGAAGTGGTTTGACAGACTGGCGCTCCTTTTACGGCTGTTTCTTTTTTCGTAGTAACACAGATGAATGGTCGTATTCATCAATGCACACACGGTATTGACCTCATACGTCCGTCGTTTGACACTTTAACAGCCATTCCTAATGTAGTGCAGGGTTAAGAGGCAGCCGACATATGGACCCTTATTGTACTCTTTTGCGCAACGCTCTCGCAGCCACCACATCGCCCATGGTCTCGCAGCCAACAGGCAGTCCAAACCATCAACATTCAATATCCGGCCAATCAGTCGCCACACACAAG